TAAAAGGGCCTGAAAATCACATGTTTAAACAGAGTGTAAAGTCGAATCTAGGTGAGGCTGAGCCTCAATTGAGCGAATCTAAGTGAGGCTCGAGCCTCACGGGTCTCAGTGGCTCCGCCGCCACTGATTCGACTAAGTCTGCGAAACCCTTTTTAAGTTCAGTACGTTCTTACGAAACCGGAAAGGTTCTTCCCCTGGGCAAAGGTTCGCTAATATACCTTTTTTAGAATCTAGTTGCTTGATAATCCTTGACAGTCGTAAATATCTTGGCAGCATGCAATTTTGGGTTAGCATCGTGATAATCCTTGAAAGTCCGTAACAGTTGTGAATCCTCGGAACGTTTGGTTTTCTTGAGTTTCCTCGTAATCCTCGACGGTCCTAATTTGAGTCCTAATTTGATGGAAGTGCTTGGATTCCTTCGATCTCTTACTTACATGGTAATCGTTGCTGATCCTTAAGTGCTCTGGATAGTAGGATTTCTGGAATTTCGTAGTTTACTGATAAACGTTGGCAGACGTGAATTACGTGAGTTCCTTGCAATCCTCATAATTCCTCTGTTTCATGGAGAGCCTTGAGGTAAAATAATAGCATGGATTGCTTGAACTTCTTGGATGTGTTTGTTTTCTGTTATCCCTGGACATTGCTTAATTGTTGGGAATGCATGGAATTTTATGTGCGTGGGTGGGGTCATTTTAGGTTACAAGTCTATTGGCCCTTGGAAACCCGGTAGATCGAATCTCTATAGTTCAGCAGTGATTCATCCGATCGATCTGAAATTTTTACCCAAGACAGAATATCCTGAGAGAAGCTTTTGTTTTTGATGGGTCGTGGCAAAGATTTTGGTTTACTGATCACCGACCCTGAAGGGGATATGCTCAACATCAGCGTTCGGAAAAATTGCAATTCAATCGTTTGGACATCAGAAATCGAAGGTCATATAGAGATATCTCTTTCCTGAAAGTTCCATTAAAAACGAACGCTGTTTGACGAAATGGAACGTGTTTTAGTAACGGTTACTACAGTGACTTTTTCTTTTGAGGTGTGAGTTTCCTCTTCATCCAAACCCACACATCCCACACTCCACACCCTCGATCAATCGTCGTTTACAAAGCTGAAGATTTGACTAAAATATTTCTCTTCTTACAAATCAGATTTCCACCAAAAGAAAATTGGAAACGATGTTAATTTTGCCAAAATTTAACTTTTCACTTTTTTTCTCTCTATGGTCTCTCTGTCTTTATCTTCCCTCTTATTTTGTCATTTTATCGTGTTCTTTCTCTCTGTTTCAGTTCATCCGTTACGTGGAAGTTCCATTGACATTCATCCAAATGCTCGATGGCAACAGAATGGTCTCACTGTGGCTGGAGGAAATGGATATGGCAATGGAATCAATCAACTCTACTACCCATGGGGTTTGTATGTTGATGATGATGATCGGACAATCTATATCGCTGATGCATCGAATCATCGTATTGTGGAATGGAAATGGGGTGCGACGAGTGGCCAAGTGGTTGCCGGTGGAAATGAAGAAGGAAGTGAGACTCATCAGTTGTCTTACCCATTTGATGTGATTGTCGACAAAGAGAGAGATAGTCTCATCATCTGCGATAGTTCGAATAGAAGAGTGGTTCGATAGCCTCGTCGAAATGGGACAAGTGGAGAAACAATCATCTCCAACATCAATTGTGCGGGTTTGACAATGGACGAGAATGGATATCTCTATGTCATTGACTATGGAAAACATGAAGTGAGACGATATCGAAGAGGAGAATCTCAAGGAATAGTGGTTGCAGGTGGCAATGGAAGTGGAAATCGTCTCGATCAACTCTCTTACCCACAATATGTATTCGTCGATCGAGATCATTCAGTATACGTGTTTGCGAAAAAACGTATTAACGCGACAAATCTATTTTTTTTTGACATATATTTTATTGTTCCTTTTAAAAAGGTTAACAATTAACAGATCTTACATTGACTTAACTATAATAAAAAAAAAGTCTGAAAAAAAAGAAAACTGTTACTTTTGAATTTACAGAGCAAATAAGTATTATTTAATTTTAGTAAAGACATACAGGAGATATGACCTCAGTTTAACAGAAACAGCACAATTTTTTCTCTCTCTACATTCTACAACAAAAAAAAGAAAAAAGTAAGAAAAAATTCACACGAGTATAAGTTTCTACTAATGAAAATGAAAAACAATTAAAGACAATAAGCTAATGCTCAATCAAATTTACATTTTCCTTTTTAGTTTTTTACGGTGGCTCTTGAGAAAAAAATTTGAACATACACAGTTTTATATAGAAGGGCGAGGTCTTAAAAAATCCATACTGTTCTCTTTGTACAGCCAAAAAAGAGTAAACATCTAGTGAGTGTGCCGCGCTCTTAAAGCCAACCTGTCGCGAAAGAAACTTGATTTACTGTTCCTATGAAAGCCCATGTTTTTATAATAAGTTTTTGAGTGGGATGTAGCTCTTAAAAATGCGGTCCATGTTTGACGATAAGGTTCTGCTTCTGGTGCGATTTCTAAGTGTTTCTGGAATCGCAGCCAGTATTTTAACAGAAAATCTCGAAGTGTAAGTTCACGTGTTAAAATTAAAGTAGTCAGGTCTTCATGCCCCCAGAGAGAATATACCAACCTCAAGCCCGTACAGTAAACATGTTTGATTTTTTGCTTTTGCTTTTCAGTAAAATAAAACCATGTGCAAAATAACCAGGTAAAATGAGGCAATGCAAAGGCGGAAAATAATCTTCTGCGAATTTTTACTTCATTTTTCGGGATGGCGTGAAAAAGTTTTCGGAGGCCTGCATACGCTGATCTTACTTTTTTAATTCTAACATCAATGTGTTTCCCCCATACCAGTTTAGTGCCAGTTTCAACCCCTAAACATTTGAAAGATTTTACAAATTCAGTTTTTTTCCCTTTATACTCAATGTTTGGCTTTTTAACAGCAACTGCGCTGTGAACCAGCATAGCTTTTGTTTTGTTTACATTTACGGGCAGGAGGTGGTCATCCGCAAACTTTTCCAGCGCTATTAAAATAGTTTTTGCTTGACGTTCTAAATAAGCTATGTTTCGCGAAAGTTTTAATTCTAAAGCTCCTTTTAAATCATAGTTAGGTCGTCTGCGAATAAATGTGAAAGAATTTGACGTAAAATAACTCGGCAAAAAATGGACGTGAGACGAAATAAAAGTGCAGCTAGTACACTGCCCTGAGGCGCGCCAATTAAAATCTCGAACAAACGCGATTTTGCTTTACCAAAAGTAACATACATTTTACAATTTTTGAACCAGTTGAAAATCCACTTTCGCAAATTAAGCGGCATGTCTAATTTTTCTAAGGTGAGCATAAAAGAAGCATACCATAGGTGGTCAAAGGCAGTGGCGAAATCTACAAATATAGCGAGCGCTGGTCTGTTTGAAGCTGCAACCGTAAGCCGAAGATCTTCGGCAATTCCTAAAATACACGTTTGAAGTCTCCTATTAGCGGTAAAACCTGATTGTTCTTCACAATGAACGCCTTGATTTAAACACCATTTTTCAATACGAGCGGCTATAACTCTTTCTAATACTTTTCCCAAATTGGGAAGCAGCGATATCGACCGAAGTCGATCAATCGTCGGGGATGCGTCGTCTTTGGAAAGAAAAATGGCTTTTGCAACTTTTCCAGACTCGAAAAATTGCCCCTTTTTGACACAATTATTGAATAAAATGGTGATTGTACAAAGATACTGAGAGGGGAGTTGTTTTAGAAGAAAAGCAGAGTTTTCTACGCCATCAAGAGACTTTTTAGGCATAAGTTTTTTCCATTGCAGTTCTACTTCTACCCTCAAACTTAACTTGTTCCAATGACAAATTCGGTGTAGATATTATCCTTTCAAAAGCTTCTAAACTTTCACGATGTACAGGGTTATTCATATTGGATTTAGGCGCAGAAAAGTGATTTTCATAGTAGTCAGCTAGCTCATCCGCAATTTTCTGTTGGTCTTTTAACACGCAATTTTGAATTTTTATCCCTTTAAACGCCGGAGTATAAGGCCGAAAAACGTTTTTAACATGAGACCAGATATTTTGGCCTTGTTTCATGTGCTCCAATTTTCTAGCGCTTTTTTCTTGTTCAAATTTAAGTTTTTCCTGTATGTAAACTTTTTGACAATGCTTGAAACTCTGATAATGTTCTAAAAACCGCGTTTTGCAAAATTTTCTTTTAGCGCTGTTGACAGTACGGGCCAGTTTTACCAGCTGCGGTGGCCAAGGTGGACGAAAAGCTATTATATTTTCATATTCACTGCAACGATCTGAAAGCGCGGCTAGAAATTCTGAAAACGAATCGAAAAAATATTATAATCAATTTCATAGACTAAAGAATTCCAATAAAAATGAACTGCTCTTGCAAAAAACGTAAAAATGTCTCATTTTGTTTTACGAAAAACACCGTTTTCGCCAGCACTGAAAGGTGAAAAGAAAAGCACAGGATAGTGGTCAGAGTTCCCCTCTTCTAATCTTTCAACACTCCAGTTTTCTTTTGTTTTTCCTACGCAAAAGTCAATTATTGCAGTTGATTTTTTAGAGGTCAGAAACTTAGAATGGATGCAGTCAAACCCATTTTCTACCATCCACTCGTTCAGTTTATTACCGCTCATATTATTTTTCTCGCAATTCCAATTTTCATGCTTAGCGTTAAAGTCACCAAAAAAGTAAATGTTTTTATCTTTATGTTTATTGAATGGGTCCATCCAGTGGCGGAAGACTACTCGGGGGGAGATAAATTCCTGCAACAAATAATTTCTTGTTCAAAACTTCCACTTCAAGTAAAATAAAATTTTCGGATTGTTCTGAAATAGCGCATTTTATATTTTGATGAACCAGAATAGCTACATCTCCAAAACAAAAGCTATGG